CAAAACTATGCTGCTTGAACTGGTATACTACAGAGAAGGCAGCTAGACAACAGCACCCACCGCCAACTCTTGGAATACTCTTATCTGATTGAATAGTGAGATTTGATTGCAACCCTTATAACGCATCCACGCAGATCTGGCATTTTAACCCTAACTACTAGGCCTCGCTTTGCCCAAACTAAAGGGAAAAAGTCAAGATAACTGAAGGCACTAATCGGTGTTACGGACAAAGATATAAAGCTACAAACTTTCAGTCATTGCAAAGTCTGTAATATAGGCTAATGTGTAACTATGAATATAGGCCTACTGTTCCGTGCTGTAATTAATCGGTCACCCCTGGGTGTATCTCCGCTATGTAGAAGATTCATTGTCAGAATTTTACTTCTCTCCCTGTCTCCCAATGACCCTAACTACTAGGCCTCGCTTTGCCCAAACTAAAGGGAAAAAGTCAAGATAACTGAAGGCACTAATCGGTGTTACGGACAAAGATATAAAGCTACAAACTTTCAGTCATTGCAAAGTCTGTTATATAGGCTAATGTGTAACTACGAATATAGGCCTACTGTTCCGTGCTGTAATTAATCGGTCACCCCTGGGTGTATCTCCGCTATGTAGAAGATTCATTGTCAGAATTTTACTTCTCTCCCTGTCTCCCAATGGGCCAGTAGTAAGTTTATGGACTTATAATGGTAAATGCCGGAGTTTCGTCTCCCACGATGGACAGAGTCCAGATAGTCCAACAACAAAAACTTACTCCCCATCCCCTAGAAATAAGCTACGTGATTTGTGGGAGTTTGTTTGAAGTTAAGTACAAAGCTACACAATGGGCTATATGGGCTCTGCCCACCACGGGCATCGAAACCCAGTTTCTAGCGTTGTAAGTCCGCAGGCATACCGCTGTGGCGCTGGGGGGGGGGGCATCTAGTGTTAAGCCAGTTAAACTTAACACTTCTATAAACTTAACACTTCTATGAGGTATTAAAAACCGTTGTCTAGTATTAAGCCGATTAAACTTAACACTCCTATGAGGTATTAAACATCGTTATCTAGTGTTAAGCCAGTTAAACTTAACACTTCTATAAACTTAACACTTCTATAAGGTATTAAATACCGTTGTCTAGTATTAAGCCGATTAAACTTTACACTCCTATGAGGTATTAAACATCGTTATCTAGTGTTAAGCTAATTAAACTTAACACTTTTGTCACGTATTCAACTTTATATCTCTTTCACTAAGTGTTTTTGTTATTTTTTTCAAATTACCGATTCATTTTGTTTAATTCAAATATCATTTCCAAAACAAAGTAAAATTATTATATTACAGATATGATGATATCTTAAACAACTCTTGATCTGCAAAGGTTAACTGTTAAAACAATAAAATATTTTTCTTTCTGAGCTGAAGAAAATATTATTCCTAGAGAATCTTTCATTTTTCCATTTAGTGGTTTTTGTATCTTTAAAAGGTCGAACTGTTTACATTGTAAAAATACTGTTGACTGATGAGACTTTGTATTATAAAAACATTGTTATGTCGAAAGGTGATGGTCGAACATTTTACATTATAAAATGTTGCTGTTTGGTAAGATTTTTCATATCATAAAACATTGTTGTCTTGAAGAGTCAACTGTTTACAGAATAAAACATTGTTGTCTTGAAGAGTCAACTGTTTACAGAATAAAACATTGTTGTCTTGAAGAGTCAACTGTTTACAGAATAAAACATTGTTGTCTTGAAGAGTCAACTGTTTACAGAATAAAACATTGTTGTCTTGAAGAGTCAACTGTTTACACAATAAAACATTGTTGTCTTGAAGAGTCAGCTGTTTACACAATAAAACTTTGTTGTCTTGAAGAGTCAACTGTTTACACAATAAAACTTTGTTGTCTTGAAGAGTCAACTGTTTACACAATAAAACTTTGTTGTCTTGAAGAGTCAACTGTTT